AAATAAATAGGTTGGGCAATGAGTAAAACCCTCCTCTGCTGAGGGGCTGGAAATTGGCTCCAAGCCACATAATCACTTCATTAATGTGTCAGATGTTTGCAGTTATTTAAATTCCTCTTCAGGAGGAGGGGGAGGGGGGAATTAAGGTTGTTCAAAACAATCAAACGAGTCCATTAGGAATAAAATAGAAGTGACGAAAACATAAAGGCCCGTCAAGGTAGAAAGGGAAGAACTAATAATGAAAAGCCGGGGGGGCGCGCGCGTTGAAAAGCCCAATCTCTGCAATTTCAGCTCCTGGAGCCGCCTTTATCCCAGTGCCTTAGAAGTGGGAATTCTTGTCAATTGTTTTATAATGTTTTCACCTCTCTTAGCCAGAAGGCTGAGAAGCTGAAAACTGAAAAGCTTGGAAAGGCGACTATGTGACCAGGCTGGAGGGGCGGGTTTAGCCCCTCGGGAGGCGGCCGCTTCCAAAGAAGGGGGGTGCTCAGGGAGGGGTTGTGGATGGAGCGAGGCAAAGGTCAAGGCTGCATGGAGCCCCCCGATTTCCCCTCTCCACCCCCCCAGTCCCCACACTGTGTCCTCATGCCCCCGGCCTCCCTGATGCTGGGATTCCTCTCTGACCCCCACCACCCCAGCCTGTGCTCCCCACTTCACCGGCCTCCTGCATGGCCAGGATCCTTCCCTGATCCCCTCTCTGGCCTGTGCCCCCCATGCCGCCTACCTTTCCCAGTGCTGCTCCCTGGCTCCTATTCCTTTCTCTGGCAGGGGCGGGGGGGGTGGTTCAGTGGGCTAGAGCAGAGGTGGGGCTGGGAGTCAGCTTGTCCCTGTTGCGTGACCTTGGGAGACTGCCCTATGCCACAGCCACGAGTGATCCCTGAGGCCCCCTGCCCCATCATGTGAGCTCCCAGCTGCCTAGTATCCCTCTGACCCACCCACCCCTGCCAGGTGCGGGGGACAACACAACGAAGAGGGGCTTGGGAGCCCTCCCTGACGCCCCAGCGCGATGAGACGGAGGTGGGCATCCCTCCCGGCGCTGGCGGGGGGCGGGTCTGGCGCTGGGAATGCCGCTCTCCATAATCAGCCTGGATCTAATAAGCCGCCAGTGCAATTTTCTCTGGCGCACACAAATAATTACAGCAAATTTGTTAATGAATTGAATATGGAGGCTGGTGCACTTGTCGGCAGAATGGAACGGAGCTGGAGCGCCCGCGGTGCCTGGGATGGAAACTCCCTGGCTGAGAGGTCCTGGGAAATCGCTTTGCGCCCCAGGGGTACCCCAGAGATGTTTCCCAGGGTCCGCGCCATCAGTCCCTGTGCAGCCATCCCCGCTGCAGTCACCAGCCCCAGTGCCTCACCCATCGAACCATCGGCCCCCTTCCAGCCAGGCCCAGCCTGGTGCCATTCCGCCAGCCCTGGAAGCAGGGCAAGGCTGGGCAGACCCCGGGGAGGAGCCCTGGTGCAGGGACCAGCCCCACAGCAGTGGTAAGAAGATGCAGCACTGGCCACCCCACTGCCCAGTTTGCCCACTCAGACTTGGCCCTGTAGCCTGTCCGTGGTGATGGGCTCCCCCTGTGCACCAGTCCCAATGCCTCACTCACGTTTGCCCCCCACCCCCGTCACGCTGGAGGGTCAGGCAGGACCACGCCTTCATGGGCAGGGGGCAGCGCTGCACCTTGTGCTGCCAATCGTGCGTCCCTTCTGCTGCCCACTGGGGGTCATTTCTGAGCTGTGCCAGCAAGATCAGGGGCCTCACCAGGGCCAGGGCTCAGCCCTCCTTGGAGAGCCCCTGCCTGCTGTAGGATAGATGCTGCCTCTGAAATCTCCACCCCCCAGCTCTCAGAGCCGCTGTCTGTGTTTGGCAATACCAGGGCTACCCTGGGAAGAAACAGGCAGGAGCCAGGGCTTGGCACCCACCGGAGCAGCCAGGCATGAGGAGCGACAGACCTGGGTGTGCCTCGGTCGGACCCGTCGCTGGGCTGGGGACCCTTCCACACGGGGGCTCGGGGACAGACAAGTTCTCCCACAAACCTCTGCGAACCAAGCCCTAGAGTGGCTCCACTCGTGTGAGCTAAGAATCATGGGTGGGATATGCCCCAGAGATCCTAGCAGCAAGCCCGTGTCAGTGCAGCACGACCTGGGTCTGGGTGCATGCGGCTCTGCGGGGTGGCTGGCTTGGCTAGCCCGGGGTGCATGCATGGGAGCCCAGGCACCGGCACACTCTGCTCTAGAGATGTAGCCACAGACTTCACACCCATCGCCGATGGAGCTCCCATCTCAGTGGCCCTTTGATCCCAGACGCCTTCCCCTGGCAAAAGGAGACACCTCCAGACCCATTCCATCCAGGTGTCCTCTCTGCACCATCACAGGGAGACACCTCTCCTGAGGCTAGAGGGCCCCATGTCCCATCCACTCCAGTCTCTTCTCTGTACCAACTGACTTGGAGACACCCCATGGCCAGTCAGTCCCAGTCTCCTCCAGGCACCCATTCAGATTGGAAATGCCTCTCCCAAGTCTCCAGGACACGTCCCCATTTCCATTCATCCCAGTCTGCCCCATCCACAAACAGGCTTGGCGACCCTCTCTGGGGCTCCATCCCCACCCAGTTGTCTCCACGCCACTTGCTGAGGACTCCTTGTCTCTTACCGGTCCGCGTTCCCCTCCACGCGTGGGCATCTCTGCTCTGCACTGACATTCTCCCTTCTCCTGCGGGTGAGCGGCCCGGGGCACGTGCAGGATCCTGCTCCTCATCCTGCCCAATCCACATCCTCCTCATGTCCTTCATGCACCAGCCCCCGGTGGGAGGTGCCGTTCTCCATTTCTGCTGGACCAAGTGGCAAATTTGCCCCCCAGGCAACTCTTGGGAGAGAGGGCACCATGCAAGCCATGTCAATGGAACCATGGCCACTACAGCCAGCCCCACCTCTTAATGGCCATTCAGCCCTGCAGCAGCCCTCAGCCATGGGACCCTCCTCCTATAGCTCTGCCCCACGGACACCCCAGCACCGCTGCAGCACAGGGCCCTGCCCCAGGGCCGTTCCCGCTCGGGCACCGCTCCAGCCCTGTTTGGGGTGGGAGCTACACTGTGCGCTGCTCTCAGGGGTGAAGCCTTGTCTCCAGGACACGCTCCTGCCAGCAGAGCTCCTCCAACCTGGAAGGACCTGGGCCAAGGCGCTGAGGGTTTAGCCAGGTCCTCCTTCCCCCACACTGCAGTGTCTGTGAGTGCCGCCTCTGGCCTTTGCTGGGACAGGGACAATGTTACAGTCTCTGCCCCCCTCTGTACCCAAGCCCCTGGAATGGGGGCCAGAGCCCCAGGCTCAATTTTGTGGGATGTTGCCTCCAAAGGAGCAATGTTGATTGGCTCCAGCTGGGGATCTGGCCCCATCGGCTCAACCGGAGCTACGGCTGATTGGCTCCAGCTGGGGATCTGGCCCCATCGGCTCAGCCGGAGCTACAGCTGATTGGCTCCAAAGGGGGATCTGGCCCCATCGGCTCAGCCGGAGCTACGGCTGATTGGCTCCAAGGGGGGATCTGGCCCCATCGGCTCAGCCGGAGCTATGGCTGATTGGCTCCAGCTGGAGCTATGGCTGATTGGCTCCAGCTGG